GGCAGCCACTAACGAAGCGCCGCCAACGTCTTGGCGATGCTGTTTGCTGATTTTGTTGTGGGCAGCCCTCGCTGCAGAGTATATGTATACCCTAAGGTCGCTAAGGCACTATAGAATCCAGAGGTTGTTGGGGATCTATGGTTATCCATGGGAAATTAGGTATTTTTCCACATTAGCGAAGGGCACTAAGCGATAAGTTATCTATTTTGTGAAGGAAAACGCTCTGTGCTTTGCTATAGAAGAGCTTACATGGAATAATATTTCCTACAGTTTTCCAATGATAAAGTTTTTCAATCCAATTAACTTCCCAATGCCATGAGCTATGGCAGATGCCAGCCTCGAATTGATACCCAAAGGGCATTTCAGCTTCGTCATTCCTAACTCTAGTAGATTTCTCCTAGTGCCTCCTTTTTTTTTTTTGGCTCTGTGCCTCTCTTTGGCAGGTGCAGTTTGCATTTGCCGATGCTGTTGCTGCTGTTGCTGCTGCTGTTGTTGCTCATTAGCTTTTTTCCCTGCTGCTGCCACAAAGTCTACGTCTGTTACCATTTTGGGCTCTCTGGGAATCAGGCGCTGGATTAGCCAGGCACTAGGCAAACAGGCAGGCCACAGGCAGGTAAGGTAAGGTAGGGTAAAGTACGGTAAGGCATGGCATGGCATGGCAGCCGCCAAAAGGAAAATCGAAATGCCTTGCCGTGGTGTGGTGTGGTGTGCAGTGTGGGAAAACTTTTATTTCAAGGTTCAAAAGACGCCCGCAGAGTGTGAAAAATGGCTAAAACAAAAAGCTGTAGTTGTTGCTGTTGCTGTTGCTGTAGCTGCAGCAATACAATTGCAGAGGGTATATATAAAGTGGGGATTTGTAACTTGCGGCGGCTGCCCCCACGGCGTATGCGCAATGCCATAAATTCAATGTGACTCGCGGTGGCCCAAACCGATCCGATCCGATGCGGTCAGCCTCGAAGTTGGTCAAATGATGTGGTGGCCCAGAAAGCTAGCAACAGCAGCAGCAACAGCAGCAGCAACAATAACGCAACGTTTCATGTGTGAAAATTGCAGAATCCATCCCATTTGCTGCGACTGCAAATCCCAAGCCGAAAGCCGAAAGGCGAATGCGAATGCGAAATACGGATACGCCGTATAGTTCAGCGCCATGTTGTTTCATAATTATAAGTTAAATACGACAGTTTTATATAAAAATCAAAAATCAACTAGTAAATCAAAGTGAGCGAGTGAGCGCGCGCCTGGCAATTAAGTGGCTACAAACGTAACACACGATGGTGCTTTGGTGGTGCGCTTGGCCAAGCACGTCGCCATCGACAGCAACAGAAACCGCCACGGCCACAGCCACAGCGATAACGACAACGAGAGGGAGAGCGAGAGCGATAGCTCGGACTGAGACTGAGATAGAGACCCGGGACCGGGGACCCGGCTGGGCCCAAGCCAAGCTTCAGCCAAGCTTCAGCCAAGCTTCAGCCAAGCGAACTGTCAATTATAGCCAATCGCACACCAAGTGCACATTAAACCCTATCAACTGTTTCTGTAATTTATTGTTTGGCTGGGGTTTTTTCTCTTCTCTTCTCTCTCCTTGTCTCTTCTGTCTTTACTCGCCCTGGCTGCGGTTCTTCTTGTTTCCACAGTTGCAGGTCTAGCAGTGCAGCATTTGGTGCGAGATCCGCATTGCAGTGCACACAGTGGAGCGCAGTGGGTCAAGGGCGGGTGGGATGAAACCACTAATGAGGCATCAAGTCAGGGGCGGAGGCGATCTAAGCTAGTAAAGTTGCACGACCCTTCAAGTACACAAATCAATGAAACTTAATTCAAGTTGAACTAGAATCGTTTGCTCACTAGAATCGTTTGCCCTTAACGAGTTTCCTTAAAAAGAGCTTCCATTGTGTACCCCACCCCTGTTGGCGATGACTTTGCTTGGTCTGGCGACGATCTCGTCTCATCATAATTATAGCTGCGACGGCGACGGCAAATGCGAGTGGGGCGGCACGTCGGAGGGATGGAGATCCAGAGAGGGTTGGAGTTGGAGATCAGAGGCAGTCTGGGAGGTAGCCAGCGTAAATCTGGCAGAGTCAAATGAGCAGTTTATGGCCAGATACGAAGCGAAGCGACGCAACGCAACGCAACGCAAAGCGGCGCGACGCGACGACCATTTGAAGACGCGCCAAAGGAGCCCGAGATGGAGGAGCCTGTCTATATAGCATCGCCACTCGGGGGCAACATTCACTTTTTTTATTGCACCACTTTGGCAATAGGCACAAGTGTGATTTCGAATCTCTGGGTCGCCTGGTGGTGCACCGCCTGATGGTTGTACCGTTTGCCCCGTTGCCCCGTTCCATCGTTTCACAGTTGCACCGTTGTTGCAGCTAAATTGGCAGAAATATGAAGTCAGCGTGTGCATTTTGGTAAAAGCGGTGATTACACACACTGAGACATAGGGAAACATTCACTGGGATATTCGCTGGAGAATGGAATGGCCGTTGCAGAGACGAGAAATATATGACAGACAGAGTTGCCACATAATGCGCATTAGCATACAGTCTATACAGCATAAAGTTTAGAGCGGAGAGCTGGAGAGCCAAAGCTGTTGCCCATAAGCCACTACTGTGGCTGCGGCTACCCATCCAGCCTTCCAGCCTAGCAGCTCCCACCCTCTTTTTCCCTTCCCTGCCATTTCCAGGGAGGCAATTGCAAATGGGGCACAGTAACAGAAACAGAAACAGAAAGACTCAACCTCAACTCCAAGGCACTGCACTGTGGGCTGACGTTGATGGCCAGTTCAATTAAATGCCATCAATTTTAATAACGCGCTCGGACCTGGGCCCGGGTTCGGGTTTGGGTTCGGACCTGGTCTGGGCCAAGTTAACGGAGCTCAACCTGAAGCCCCCTCTTTGGGTCTGTTGCTACCTTGGGCGACCTGAAGCTTGGGTGCTGGGTGCTTGGCGGCTTGGCTGCTTGGGTGCTGGGGAAACAAAACGCTCTCTGGCATGGAAATTACAAATGCATCAACAGAGACCTGGTACACATGTGTAGACAGTCGCAACGCACTCGAGGCACTTGAGGCTAAGAAACAAGCAGCGTACCAACGGACCAACCGACCAACCGACCAGTCCCAACCCCACCAAACAGCACTCACTTCACAGCAAAGCAAACCAGAGAGCCAGCGAGAGGTAGAGGCAGAGATCTGGTCAGTTCCGACTGGGTCTTGTGGCCCTCGGTCATATATAGTTGCAGGCTTGACAAAGCACTTAAGCCTGGGTCACTTGTACAGTTCGCTTTTTCCTCGTTTTTCTTTCTTTCGCTGCTTTGTCTTAGCCCCGCACCCCCCTTAGCATCACTCTGACAAACGAGATGCACTGGCAAGAAACGTCAAGACGAGGGGAAAAAGCAAGTGAAAATTGAATGTGCTAAGCAGGTAAGCCCGAGAGGGGTGGGGGGGTTTATAAGAATAAATTATAAATACCTCTCACCCAGTAGATTGTGGCTTATAATTTGCAAGATTTCACACACTTCACAGTCACAGTTTTACGCACATTAGATACGAGCTTGGAGAAGAGCACCTGAAAATGAAAGAAAATTGATCATAAATCAAAGAAGAATGGCAATTCACTAATACGAGTATGAGAGATCGGGAATAGAAATTACTTATTTGAAGGAACATTTTAACAGCACAGAAGATCAGAAGAGAGCGCCTGTAGCTTAATGATCAGCCGTGGGTTGAAGGTTCACGCAGATCAGTTCCAAATGATGTTCAAATCAAACTTTATATTTATTTGCATACTCGCAAGGTTAGGCACCAGCACTGTTGCCATGTTGCCATGTTGCCAGGCATTATCTCAGCCGCATGATTAGAGGTATCGAGAAACTCTTTTCCTGTGCAAACGCACTCAACCATCAATAGATCAGAAGCTTCAAAGATGAGGGGGGCAAAGAGAATCAGTTGTAAATGTTGCAACTATGTTAATATTCCAACTAGCAATTTGATCTTCGTAAACCTTCGTGGCAATGATCGATACAGCTCAACGGCGACTATCAATTATCGATTACTTAAGGCTGCCCTCCCTCCAAAACACACACATTGAGATTCACTTGAGAATTGCAACAAAAAGTTAAAGAAAAACCAACTAAAGAAAAGGAAAATAAGTAAAGGCTGCCCCGCACTGCTGCCTCTGTTGTGCGGCGACCCAAGACAAGTGGCCAAGTGGAGTGGAGCAGCAGCCGCAGCAGCAGCAGCCCCAGCCCAGAAGCGAGAATTGAGCAAACTTTTATATGACTTTGGTCGCCGGAGCACCCTTCAAGGAAGGTACATACATAGTGGACTACTGTCGGTAGCAAAGTAGTTAGAGGTAGAGATAGAGGAAGGAGGCTCGCAGTCAGCAGCACAGCAGCAGCAGCAGCAGCTGCTGCCGCAATTGATGTTGATGTCGCGGGCGCCAAAATCGACACACTTGTCCCGAGACTTGGGGTCCGGGTGCCACTGCAACTGGCAGCCGCAACTGGCAACTGGCAACTGGCAGTCGTCGTCTGGTTGAAGTACAGGTTAAATGGATCACGACTGCACGGATTCGCTGTCCGTCGCAGTCTTGGCTGTCTGTCGGCCATAAAATACGCGACATGCAAACGTTTTTGATGCAATGAGGCGGCCAAACGAAATTAGGAAATTGTGTAAAAACTCCTAACTGACAAGGCAAAGTGTTCCACACGGAGAGTTCGTTGGGATGCAGTCTGCTTAGACTGAGATCCTCTGTGGTCTGTGGTCTGTGGCTGGCAGTAGAAGTAGGTTGTTCGAGTACTCTGCCAATATATACTGGATGGAGCAGCCATTCCGTTCAGTCCGTTCAGTCCGTTCAGTCAGTCAGTTAGTCAGTGGTTCATTTACGAGTCTCATTAGGCATTTGCGGCCATAAAGTCGCTCTCCCGCCAGTCCACCAGCATTTTGGCCATTTTGTTAACCGAATCTCAATTGGTTTTCTTCCCATTCCCCCATTCCATTGCAGCGAGCACTTCGCATGGGAGCAGCAGCAGTGGAAGCGGCAGCGGCAGTGGCAGTGGCAGCTGTAAATCCTCATCGACCACCAAAGCAGTCCATAGCAGCATCAACTACAGCAATGGCAAGCAGTCTGGATCATCCTCATCCGCATCCAGCTATGCGGCCGGTGCTTCGGCCGGTGCCTCGTCGTTGGGGGCCTTTGGCCGTCAGCATCAGCATCAGCAGCCCACTCAGCAACAACTTTATGCCTCCGGTGTGTCCAAGTTGCCATTCTCGCCATTCTTTGCCGCGTCGCCATTCTTCTTCACCTACCGCCGGATTAGCGGCGGTGGGGCCGGGGCCGGGGCCGGGGCCGGCGCCGGCGCCGGAAGCGGCAAGCAGGAGGACAACAACAACAGCTGCAGCTACAACAATGGCAGCAGTGGCGGCAGCAGCAGCAACTCCTCCTCGCTCATGCAGGACTACGACCGCAAATTCAGCCTGCTGAGCCTGTTCAAGAATCCCTACAAGTTCAGTGACGGGCAGGCAGCGAGAAAGACCTCACCGACGGGCGGCAGCACCAGCAGCAGCAAGTCGGCGGTGGCCCCTGCCTGCTCCTCCGCCTCATCCTCCGCCAGCTGGAAGAGCTACGCGGGCTCTGGGTCACCGCACGCTGCCCTTAATCCGGCCTTCGGTGGCATGGCCCTGGGCGCCACCCGCAAGGACAACAGCAGCTTCAGCGGCATCAATTTTGGCGGCGGAGCCTCCTCCTTTGCTCGGTCCACCTCCTCCGATGCGACGGCCAACGGCGGCGGCTACAATGATCTCTCCAAGAACCGCAAGGTACACAAATGCGACACCGAAGGCTGCGACAAGGTCTACACCAAAAGCTCGCACCTCAAGGCGCACAAGCGAACGCATACGGGTGAGTAAAAAAAGGGGGATACATATCCGTATCCGTATCCATTGCTTATGCTATCCAACATTCATTCAGGTGAGAAGCCGTATGTGTGCACCTGGGAGGGCTGCATCTGGCGCTTTGCCCGCTCCGATGAGCTGACCCGCCACTACCGCAAGCACACGGGCGTGAAGCCATTCCGCTGTCAGCTCTGCACGAGAAGCTTCAGCCGCTCCGATCATCTGTCGCTGCACATGCGCCGCCACTGAGCAGAATGTCAGCAAAAGGATTGACGTGAGGACTGTGACTGCCAATCTGGCCATACATACAATACAATACAATACAATACATACATACATACATATCTATATAGACGCCGAGAATACTCATCGAAGATGCTGCTCGCTCTTGACTACTCGTATTTATATATCACACTTCACAGATTTTCCATATTTTCCATATTGCCTAAGTAGCTCAATTTAGTGTTAGGCGGGCTCAAAGCCCAATCTATTTATAGGGTATTCGATAGTTCTAGAGCTGAAGAATTTGTAAAATTCGTTCACAATACATTCACAACCCAGAGACAATTGCCTTCAGAAGCCAAGTTACGAAATGGAATTTAAGCCTACAACACTCGTACATACACTCGTAGAAAGTATCCATATAATATAATATAAAATATACATAAATACATACATACATACCTATACATATACATATATACAGATAGTTTTGGATTGGTGCTAGCAACTTGCGTGTATATATATACATACATACATATACATAATATATATATACTATTATATTTGGTAAGACAAATTTTAACTAATTTTAGATGAAATTTTTTATTGGTTATTAAGTAGAAAATTTTTATACTCGTATACCACACACAAGAAAAAAAAAACAAAACAAAAAAGGAAACAAAAACGAAAATGAAAACGAAAACGAAAACAAGCGTCACAAAAGAGGCAAAAAAAAACAAGAAGAAGCCAAGCAAAGCAATATATTTATATATAAATAGAAATTCTCTCATATATAGGATACATACATATATGGACTATACACACATTTTGTACTATACGCATATGATATGATAGTTAATGGAGAGCTGAGGTGGATGAGCTAATGGTGGGGTGGGTGGGGGAAGTGCGGGCAATGCATTCATTTTGATACGCACATTTGTTGGATAAACCTACTACATGCCTTAAAAGAAGACTATTTCATAATCTCCTTTTATTAGATGTTTTTTTTAAGAACATTCTCTTCGTATCAACTTATGTATAACATTCCTTTTTAGTTTAAATCTGCGTCTTCGTTACACATCTAAGACTAGACATCTAGACTTATAAAACGCACTGTATTCCCTGCCTAATCCCAAAAAGCATTCTGCCGCATCCCCAACTGTCATCATAGATTTAGCTCCACACACACACAAAAGCAAAACAAATTGTATTATTTTTTGTAATAAAAGAAAAGCAAATAAGTTTTTTTTTTTTTGTCGTGGCGGACATACTGTGGCGGACACTGTGCTCATTACGGGGTCTGTGGCCAAATCCGTTGTCGATTTTCATTTGAATGAAAAATCAATTGAGCTCACAATGGGGCTATGGCTATGGCAATGGCTAACCTAGCCAAGTGGTTGGACTCCCTCCTTCATCTGCACTGCACTGGTGCAGTGATCCGGTGGCGGCTCCCCAAAGATGTGTGGCAAGTTGTCAGCAACTGCTTGTGCTGCTGGGGCCTTTGTGTGCGGCGTGGCACGCACTCCCCGGCAATTGTCCAGGGGAGCATTGTCGATGTCGTCGTTGTAGTCGACGTCGTCGTCGTTTGTCGTCGACTGTGCAACGTTGCCGCAGAGCATTGCGCGCGTTGTTTGCAATAATAAAGATGACAAATTTCTCGTCATTTGTAATTTCAATGCGAAGGGGGCAGACGGGAACGGGGACGGGAACTGTAGCTGGTGCTGAAGCTACTGACGGTGAGTGTAGCTGAAGCCAAGACTGGAAGTATGGCTAATGCTGAAGCTGTAGCTGTAGCTGTAGCTGAAGCTCTGCTTTGGACCTGGCTAATACGCATAACTGGTTGCTCCCGCGACAGCAGGGAGTGAGAGCAATGGAGCTCCAGCTAAGATCGGGATTGGATGACACCTGCAGCGGAAATCAGTGCATGAATAACGCTTTCGGTCATTAAGGCACAATTGTGAAATATTACGTATACGCCATGGCAATTTATTGGTAAATTAATAACCAAATACATATGTACATATGTACACCCAAACAGACAGTAGCCAAACGGCTGCCGTTCCAAAAAATACTACCGACAGGGGTCTGGGGCTTGGGGTCTGCCGTCACCGCATTTAGCATAAAGGTTAGACAAATATAACCGACCGGTTTTTTGGGTTAATTAATATGCCTTGGGTCAGGTCAATATTGCGTCGAGGCTGCCACTGGCACTGGCACTGGCACTGGCACTGGCACTACCACTGGCCTTTGAAGGGAGGGAGGAGTTGATACTATGATCCGAGGATGGTCCGAGATAATGGTCGATAGCTGTTAGGCTGGGGAGAGGTCAGGTTTAATGACCCAAACGGGATGCAAATGAGTAAAAGTAAATAAAGTGAGAAGTTGCGTTAATTAAGACTGATCGACGTGATGAATGCCCTGCAGCTGCCAGCTGGTAAATCTTTTTTGTGTGCTGAAGCAACCGAACCGAAACGGGGATTTACTTCCATAAAGGCAAACAAAATTGAAATGGAAGTGGATGAATGAAAAGTTAAGTGAGAATACTCAGCCTCGCTTCTCATGGGGATCTATCAATAGAGCCCCATACAGCCGCATATACCCATCCACCTACAAAATACATTTAGATAAGCATTCAAAATCACAGTGCAGCTCATTAAAAACCAATAAAGTCGCTTGCCCGATGCTTTGCAACGGACAAAATTCTGTCCATCAATCAGTCTGATAGATCGGGGTGGGGATCCGTATCCCGTATCCCCCACTGAAGGATGGAGCATAGAGGAACCTCTGGAGGGAGCGATGTGTGGCTGCTGCTGTCGGCAGCTGTCCATCACACAGAAGAGTGCTCCAATAACCAAATCGACCAGAGACCAGAGACCAAGTCTGATTCCCAACTGAAATTGAAGGAGTTCCAAGTCTGAGGATTGCAGTTTTAAGAGTCTGCACAGCACACATGGAGTCCGAATCCACAGGCACAGCAACAGCCACATCCACATCCACATCGGCATCGACATCCATTTTTAATTTATTGTTATGCCTTTCTGCTGCCTTTTGGCTGCCGCTGCATCTTGCCGCTGTCTCTGTTGCTGTTGCAGTTGCAGTTGCAGGCTGCTGCCGTTGCCGCTGCTGCTGCTGGTCGTCAGGTCATGTGCAATTTATGAAACGGCTTTGCATTGGCCGCGGCCTGATTTTTGAGACACATTTGGATGACTGTCGCAACGGAGGCTGCAGAGGCAACTGCGGGTCTGCGCCTCTGCGCGGCTAACGCTGCCTCCTCTGTGGCTTCTGTCCATTTGATTTGTGATCGATTGTGTGTCGTTAGTTTGCGACATGGGGCATGAAATCTTTGACACCTAACGGTAAACAGACGGCACTGTGCCTCAGAGAGAGAGGGACCTCGGATCACAGCAGTGGGTGCCCCATCCACAGCCCCTTCATCCTTGTCCTCTGCATCAAATTGGAACGAATGGAAGGAGCCGCTTCGCCTCGCGTCGCACTGCAAGTTGTCAGCGGACCAAAGTGTTTGGCAGTTTTGCCATTTATTTTACAGGTGAGTGAGCATAATGGACAGCGGCCCGTCTGTTGCAAGTTGGCCCGTTGCAAGCAGATAGATGGGACTACGCTGCTGCGGCGGTACATGCTGTGCGCTTTGGCTCAATTAAAAATGGAATCGTCTATAGAGGAGGTCGCTCGAACGCTCGGTCGCCTCATTTGACAATTGCCTGTTCCCAAATAGAGGCAAATAGCCATAGGAGTAGCCACCATCTAGCATCTAGCAGCTAGCATCTCCCATCTAACATCTAGCATATGCCTCTACACCATCTCTCCACACAATATTTCTCCTAGCTGGCCGTCGCTCATGGTACGCGTACTCGTACTCATACCATGTTTAATTTTGTTAAGCAAAAATGCTGGAAATTAAAATTCCCATCACACCATAAAACCCATAAATCATCTTTTATCTAAGCGAGTCTATCGGCGCATGCGAGCGCGCGCCAACTTCGGTTCGGGGTTCGGGTTCGGGTTCGTTCAGGAAAAACCACAGCAGAAAATAAAACAACAAAAAACTACAGGAAAGCCTCCACTGTGTGTGTGTGTGTGTGTGTGTGGAAAATGATGCTGCTGCCGGGACACATTGGGGGAACCTGCTTGGTCCTCTCCTGCCTTAATGAGAATTTAATATTTTTCAATAAAAATTTGTAAAAGGCGCGTTAGCTGCTTGTCCTGGACTCCTCTTACCTCTCAGGGGCAGGCTGGGGTGGCAGCAGAGGCGGTGTTTTGGCCATGTGTGTCTTGGCTATTAACGCACTTTGTCTGTGGCCATTGGCCATGGCCAGCACGGCCAAGACTGGGGCCAAGACTGGGCCTGCTAGGATTGTTACCGCAGAGGCGTCGCATCTGAAAGTTGCCTCAAGAAGGTTTTTGAGCCTGGTTTGTGTTACCCCTTTTCTACCCCACTCGCATAGATTGGGGCCACGTCCATGGGCCATCGTGAGGCCTTCCTCTGTTTGTTTTCTTTATTGCCTGCAGTTGTTATTGTCTTCTCTGGGGTCTCTTGCTTCTTTCTTTGGCCTAGACTTTTACGCAGCTCTGCTTCCAATTCATATCACAAATCGTAGTCTTGTAGCTGCTGCAGTCCCTTCTTCGATCTCTGCTCCAGTCGCTGCTCTCGCCTGTGCTCCGATACCCTTGCTTACCATCTTCTGTACGCTCCGTTTGGAGTCTCCCGTCTCCAGTCTCTGCTTTAGTCCCTGCTGGAAACCCTTCCTTCTTCTGTCACAATTTTCTTTGGGCTTAAAGCGCACATTGCATACGAAATCGCTAGCTGAAGTTCAACTTGAAATTGTGGCCGCAAAAACCAGCAGCAGGGGTCGGCGAGGGGCAGGCGAGTCCAAGCCGGGACTCGGCCAAAAGTGTCAATTGTCAATTGTGGCTGTCGCCGTTTAGCCGGGTTGGCTGGGTCGAGTCGAGCCGAGTCGGCCTTCTGGGTCTTGGTCTGGGACTGGGACTGGGCTTAAACCCAGCCCATCGTTGGCGGCGCGTGCAGACGGTGAGCCTGTTTTAATATGCCAACAATGACAATCAACTGTCACCTCTGGTGCGCCACATGTCTAGACTCTAGACGCAGACGGAGACTACCACTGGTACTGCCTCTGCCACTGCCACTGCAACTGCAACTGCAGCGGCGAGTGCGGCCAAAAGAAATTGCATGCAACCTGAGCAGCGGGTTGAACGCTGATTGCAGCTACAACAAATAAATATGTCATTTGGCTCATTATAAAGATAGCAAAAGACTCTCTCTCTCCCTCTCTCTCTGTCTATGTCTGTCTGTCTCTGGCCAGAACAGAGCTTGCAACGTGCATCGAGCATCGAGCAGCATGCTGCATATGCGCCCCCAGAGCTGCTGCTGCTGCTGCGTCACATTTAAACGTTTAATGATAATTTATGAATGTTGTTGTTTTTTATTGCAACAACAATGCCGTAAACCAATAAATCTTAAGGATCACATAAATCTTGGCGCTAACTGAGACGGCGGCAGCAGCACCAGCAGCAGCAGCAAGCAGAGCAACTTCTACTTGCAACTTGCCACAAGCTGCGGCAAACCGTTGACCAATTGGCCAAAGCCTTTATACCCTAATAACCGAATGCCGCAATTAAAAGAGTTCTGCAGGAAGCAGG